GTAAATATTTGACTATGGATTCTACGAAGTTTTCATTGAAACAGTCTGCGTCTGATTTAACAGAAAAAGTTCATCGACACTCGGATATTACGTTCACCGTGGAATTGGTGAGTTCCTTTAATTCGCCATGTTCAATACTTGTACCCTTTACCCACCCACAATTTTTATATTCTCATTATTTAATACAAATCACATGATTCGTACGAAATCTCCTGCATAATCGAAGAAACATAGCAAGCGCAATACGATTTAACATAATTCAGTATATTTCTACGAAGATTTAATAGTTATTCTACGATCAGCGTTCGAAGAAAATGTTCGAACGATCTAGAAAACGGTTTGCAAACGAAAATGCATAATGGCGAAACGAAGTGATTGAAAAACTGTTCCACTTACTTGTCAAAAATCGATGCCCGGAGACCACTGCCCAGCCATCAGATCACAGAAAAACATACTTCGATATGAACGTTTCACAATACAATATAAAAGATACTTGCGAAAACACTTTTGCACCAACATTTTACAAATTAATTAGCACCTTTGTAACAAATCCTCTGGAGCTCTTCCTCGTTCCGGATCAGTAGTCCAACGGACAAATCGCAAGTTCGTGCATCGATATATGGATCGATATTTGAATTTTCAAGCTCGATCCTGAGCTGCCGGCGCGGCGCATGCGTAGATACAGAAAACATGGTAACACAAACACTGTAAAATGCTTCTATGTGCTTATACGTGTGTACATACAGTACGAGTACGGTCTTTTACGCGTTTTGTGTTGTCTCGAATCGTAAGAATTTGTGTAATTTAAAAGAAATGTCGGTGACAGTGGGACGAAGAATTCTTACTACCTTTTATAACAGTCAGTTGAAACGATTGTCAACTCGCGGTGGAATAGTTAAATACAGTTCTGTTACTAATGACAAGCCGTCTAACCTAAACGAGGATCGCAAGCCGGTAGACGATGAATCGGGTAAAATTTCTGCGGCTGTTTTGAAGAAATTCTCCGAGCCGCTCGTCCTCGAAACCCATGAACCTCCCAAAAGGTTAAAACCAAACGAAGTAAGTTCATATCACATTTAGTAGCGAGACACCTTGTCTATCAATTGTCACTTGCTGTTTTCAATTGTTTATTGAATAATCAAATAATATGAATTATGTACCCTGAACGATCATACTTTGTATGCACGCGTGCAAAGATTTTTATTATACAGCATAATTTCTCGAATACTCGAGATTCACAGGTTGACAATTGCTCATCTTGAGCTCTGAATTAACAATCAGCTTCAAATTTCAAATCCTGACGATTATAATAATACGATTGCTTTGAAATCAAGTCTACATATTCCTACATCAATTATTCTGTTCTATCTCACATTGTGCCATTAGGTTTAAGCCTTGTCTCTTTCTGAAGGTTTCATATTTTACAGCAGGGAAGATTTTGTTTATGATTTCACTTTTGCTATTTAATAAGATTTCTGGATCAACAATTCTGTATTTCTTGTATAGTTGCAACTGTTTCTTTCTGGACGTTTCATATTTTCGAGCAGGGATTCTATTTGTCTATGATTTCGTTTCTTAATTAAATGGATTGAAGCTTAGGGATATAAGGACAGGATAATGTTCATCAAATCAATTGAGATAAGAATTAATAACAGGATTGCTGTTTGTTATTCATTAAAATTGCTTGAGATTTAATTCACAATTATTTCTAAACGTCTAGTATTCTAATCATTAGCTAACAAGCATCGAGGTTCAGCTATATTATCGTTTGCTTTGCTTTGCTTAACAAGATTTCCCAGTGATACAATTGAAAAATCAAATGATTAAAACTGAATTATAGTTAAGAAAACCTCTTCCCATTCTTAGGTGATCGTAGATGTTCGATACTGTGCTCTGAATGATCAAAATATGTTCCTATCAAACACTATAATGGAATCAATGATCAGATGTAAATCTTAAACGACTTCTTACTGATTCACCCTGAATATATAATTAATAAATCCATCGAACAAATCCTTTTTAACATAGAAGTACATAAAGGAAATCCTAATTCCTTATAATCAGTCGAATTCCATTGTAATCTCGGGTTTCACTTAAGGAAAACTCGTAGGATATTTGGAAAGTACCATCAGACGTTAAATCTCAGCACGCGGTTGCAATCCTTGACGATTATGTTACCGCCCTGATCGCTCTAGAGAGAAATGTCAGCATTCAGGAGGAGGACATTATTTTAATTAACGTTGGCGTCAGCGGCATTGGCTTAGCCGCCGTCGATCTCGCAACAAACGTTTACAAAGCTCAGGTCAGACTAATTCCAGAGGACTATGAGTTACAGTCAGGTAGACTGCGGATTTTATGCATTCCTGAGGGAAATTAATAGTAAATAGAAATTTAGGATGCAATGTTTAAGCTATCTGCTTTAATGGATCCAATAGTCGATGGAGTATTTCATAAACTAAATGATACAATAATTCATGTATTAATTGATTGAGTAATTTATATATTTGATAAATATTTGGAATAAAAATCCGCAGTCTACAAATAACTCGAAAAGGCAGTCCTCAGTAATTACTAATTTAGGTAATTAGCGTTTGCGCCACGGAGGATGGTGCGTCTCTCGCTCGCGAGAAAGGCGTGCTGGCATCGTTCAGATTCAAAGATCGTAAGTTGCTGAAGCAGCTCGAGGATCTGGCTGCGGAGAAAGATATCAAACACATTTTCGAGGACGCAGACGGTGAATATTTTAAAAACGTATTGAATAGGTGAGTGTCGAAGAATGGGAGTAAAAAGAAGAACAGTCATCCAGCTGTGACCTTTTTAGTTTCACTGACGTCTATAAAAGTGACGTGCCTATCAAAGATCTGTTTCGCGATGATAATTTTGGGGTCGTGGTACATCATCTTTCTCGTGAAGGTGCATAAGTGTTAAAAGAATTATAGCATGATTAATAGACTGCTGATTTTTATGTATAAGATTTAAAAAATGAGATTTTCTTTTATTAAAGTATATTTTATGTGATAAATGAACCAATGCTTATTTTTTGGCATTGCATTCTTTGTATTCGAAATAAAACAACAACATGAAATCAGCGGTCGAACGATTAAATTCGACAAATCAATTGAATGAAATCGTTTACTGTAAAGGAAGGGTAATAATCGCTGGGTCGACAACAACTAATGAAGATAGCGATTCCGAGGAAACGAAGAGTGGTGTCACTGTCAGTGGATTCAATTTGCGAGAGTACAGGAAGAAGAAGCCAGAGACCTATCGGTAGAATCGACATCGGGCTCTATCAATAAAACAATAATAATTAAGTGTTCAAGGGGTTCGATTTTAATCTGAACGTTTGTTTACTCAGACAAGCTGGGGATGATATTTTAGAATTTATGGAGGAGGGCCTCATTAATCCAACGGTCGTGTTGACCGTCGGGCTGACGAACGTAAATGACGCGTTGGAATTCATTTTGAAAAATAAGAATCCAGGAAAAGTGAGTGAAGTACGATATCGTTTTATGAAATGATACTTAATCTCGTCAATTCCACAGGTTATCGTCAATGTGAAAGATAGATAGATTATAAATAAAAAACTGCTGATCGAAACGA